TATTGCATGACGGAAGCGCGCGCGCGACGGCGCGGCGGCGGGGTGTGAATCTTGAGTTTTGCGCGCTCTTCCACGTCCGATTGAGGCGCAGTGCTATTGAAACATCCCCCGAATGCGCCGTATATATAATTATCACCCGCCGTGCTAACGTAATAATCAGTTAACGCGAAGAAGAAGAGAGCGAACGGGCCGATGTGAGGACGGAACGATTCTCTCTCCCTCTCTCTCTCTCTCTCTCTCTCGCGCTCTCTCTCCTTCTCTCGCGCTCTCTCCAGGGAGAGTGGATTTCTTCGCGAACGGTGGAATGTCGGCGGGGTTTGTCTCACGGAGATCTAATGGAAAATAATGGCAAGGCGCGCGGCTCGCGGGGCGTTTCGCGAACGATTCAATTTTCCGCCCGCGTCCGACTTCCGGCAACATAAAGCATCGCGCCGGGCGGCGCGGACGTCCGATTTTAACGCGTGCGTTCATTACACGCGCGCGCTTCCATTACCGGGCCCGGCAATTCCGCGGCGATTTATAACCGACTCGCTCGCGGGATCGCGACTCTACACGCCGCAGCAATCGCCGCGATGAGCAGCGCCGCGTGGTACTTCGCACGCAACCGCGACGACATGAGCTGTGTAGCTAGGGATGCAACGATAAATCGATAATACCGAAATATCGATATCATCGAGAGGACAAATATCGAATATTTATCGGATATTTTTTATCTCCGATAAAGTCGACGTGTCGATGTGAATTTTATTGATATTTCGTATTTTTCAGTTACAGAGCTCCGGGGGCCTATTACGGTTCTACCATCGAGGTGAAAATTACAAAAGTGAATTCTCTAGAATAATAGAATATATTATGTAATTGGTTGATGTCAACAGTAAATTCGCTCACTTTTATCATTTTCACCTCGATCGAATCGATTGAACCGTAATAGATCTCCTGCTCCATGTATGCGGTGATCTCCGGCAAACGACTGCGGTTTATTATATATTTTCTAATAAAAATATGACAATAAGTTATATGAAGATAAAAGTTTTTAAAAGATTTTTTAAATTTTTCGTGTATACTCTTTATATGCATACATGTATATAGGCGTATGCATACTATGTATACATTTTTTTTTATATAGATATCTATATAAATATCGATATTTTTCGAAATTATCGATATTATCGTTATTGATGGTTCTGAATGACGATAATATCGTTATCGATATTTTGAGAAATCGTTGCATCTCTAGCTGTAGCGGATTTCCCGCGCGGTTCGCCGCTCGTAAAGCGCAAAGTTTCGCGGCGGATTTCGGCTGTAATCTGTCGCTCGAAGTTGGAGAGGCTTATCCCTTGAACGGCGCGTAGCGTGTATAGGCTGTGTTGAAATAGATTAGCGGGCTCGTTAAGCTTTCGGAGGGAAACTTCGCTCTCTTTATTCAATCGCGGACCGGCTTTGCTTTGACAAAGGAATCGCGCTCGAAGTTACGCCAGAAGTTGCAATATCGACATTTGGGAAATTGCTACGAATGTCGGTTTCTCTTTTTCTTCCCTCCCCCTCCCCCCCCTCTCTCTCTCTCTCTCTCTCTCTCGACATCTTTGTTAAAGTGTTATATTTACGATGAAAGACGTCGCCAGTTGAAAGGAGGAAGTTGTAACTCACCCACCTTTTCTGCGAGGATCAAATCTGCTATATATAGCGACGGCGTGACAACGCACAAAGCCATTGTTTCGTAGTAGACTTTAAGAGCTTCGAGACTTGCGCAGGGGAGATTACAAGGCAAACTTCGGATCAGGACGGTTATTTAGCTTCGTGAGTAAGCCGGAGCGCGATGTTAATAAGCCGTGGCGTCCTATTGGAATTATATCGGCCACGGTGAAGATGCGGAAGTATATGGAACACGAGATTAGAGATAGAGGCGAGGAAGGATATACCGATAATCTCCAGCGAGTAAAAGTTTGCGAATCCTTCCTTGATCAAACACGGGTATGTAATACGTGAGCTCTAATTTGAAAGCTATATTTTTAACACGCCACCTTCATCCTTCAACGCTTATCTCAGCTATTTTCCCAAGCTGAATTTCCAACACGTGTTGTAATCGACATTATCCGCCCCCCTCCCCCCTCTCGTCCCAGGAAAATTCTCTGCAGTAAAGTACCGTCACGGTCGTGTCATAAGCGGGCGATCGTTCGGCCGATGTTTACACGTCGCGGTATTTCTCGGCCTCGCGACCTTAAACATCGAGAGCGCTATCGAGGGGGGAGGGGATTTAAGACGCTAACGCGCGCGAATTCCACGTGTGCCTCGCAATCTGTTGGGCAATTCCATCGGAGGCGAGGCGCGGGTTAAGTGCGTTAGAAGACTGTCGATTATCTCCTCGGATCGCTGAGCACCGGTGCGAAAAAGCCGTCTCGGCTCTACGACTGCCTTGAAGTAATCACCTTGCCGATAATCAAGGTGGCGCAACGTAACGCGACAGTTAATAATCGCGCCGCGCCGCGCGCCGGTCGGACCGCGACGCTGTTTGTTCGGCGCGTAACCGCGGACGAGCGAAATGTATCGCGGTTATCGATGCCGTTATCGGCGAGCACGATCGGTCGGCCGGCGAGAGCGCCGGCGGGCTCTGCGGGGAAAATGCACGCGCGCGGCGGAAAGAAAGTACGATTCTATTTCGCCTTTGATTTGTGGAGGCGCATAAATTAATGCGAATTCAGTAGTCGTCCGTAACGAGCGCGGATAAATCAGCGGGCTGCTCTCTATCGGCCGATGACCATCGCGGCTTTCGCCGGATGATGCCGGCGATCGAGGCGAACGGGCAGAAGCTCCTAATTCCGGCCGTGACTCACGAGCTCCTCGAGGATGCTCGATTATTCCGCGAGCGCCCGGAAGGCTTCATCCTCTCTCTCTCTCTCTCTCTCTCTCTCTTTCTCTCGCTCTCGCTCTCTCTCTCTCGCTCTTTCTCTCTCTCTCTCTCTCGTTCTCTCCGGTAAAATTAACTTGCCTTCGATGCTCGAACCCGATCGGAGTTCGATAAGGGACGGCAAACTGCGGATCGGCCACTCATCGACAAGCGGCGATGGTATTCGTTCGTGCTCGCTCCTGCTAATAAATAAATCGACGAATTTGCTCGTGATTTCGTTAGTCGATGCTGAACATTAATTGATTAAGATTCAAGATAAAATAATCGGCATCTCAACGGCATCGAAATGGTCAATCGTCGTATGTGTCAGCGCGAACAATTTAATCGATTTGATTAATTTATTGCTAATCAATCGGATCGAAGTAATCGATCGAAACGATCGTTGTTTGTAATCACGATTTACTCGTTGTGTAAATTTTCATCTTAGTCAGCCGACTAATACCCAACGGACTGGCATCGGTGTCTCTCTGTGTGTACTTGAAGTCGTCGTCGCGGTACACAACGAAGCGCTACAACAGAAGCGTTTTTGCCGCGCGCGTTTTTCCGACGCTTTTTGCCCGCAGCTTCGGCTTCCGTCGACGCGTCTGCAGTCGCGTAACGGAAGAACCGGCAAATAATGCGAGAACGAATTGTTCGGGGCGAATTTATCGCGAAAAGATCGTCCCACGTCCGTCGAGGGTATTATTCAGTGGTCGAACAGAGCCGGCCGTTGACGATTATGCGTCGAGGCCGGGCGAGTGTCACGTCTCGGACACTGCTTCGTTAAATGATACATTGTCACCTTGGGTCCTTTTTCCGCGCTCTTTTTCCTCGGGAGGATCAAAAGGGACTGTGTATCTCAGTTTCGGTACAAAGCAGCCGGGTCCCTTTTATATGAATGCCCTCCACTTAGGAAGGTATTAAAAGCGTGACTAGCTTTCTCCGAGCCACCATTATTGCATCCACCTGCACTTTACCGAATGGATGTTGCCTCGTTGATGTTATCTCCTCGGTTCCGGTGCGCTGTTATTTTACGCGGCGCACGTTGCGCCGTTTGTACTTTTCTCTCTACCGAAAAGTAGGTTCTCGGCCGACGATCGCCAGCGCGGCGAATGTGGTATTGTAAAACGTCATAGATAGCTCTCTGTGTGTCGAACGCGAATCGAATAATCGAAATGCGATATCGCACGCCGCGTATTCGCAGAGTATTCGCTGAGCGAACGCGCGGTATTGCTTTCGTGAGGACAAGAGTGCTTGATGAAATAAGTTCTGTGAATTCTGAAAACGCGATGAATTCTCAAGATCACCGACCTCAAGTATAACGCGAAATTCGCGGACAAATTTAAACCTCGAGTTCAGTGCGAGCCTCGATAAACGCAGGAGAAAGGACCGCATTTGCATTAGAAGAGGAAAAAATATTCTCCAGCTTGAAGATGCAGAAAGCGTGTGTTAAATTACCGAGGTATAATGATGTTCAAATATATTTGCATTCGTTGGAACGGTTCCACGGTGTGGTAGCTTCGCAATTATCCGCAAAAGTACAGAGCGTCACATTATACTTTTCCCTTTTATCCGCACGTATCCTACATTCATCATACCATGAAACGTGACAGCGCTCGCGATTTTTGCCTCGCGAATTTTACTCGTGCCTGGCAATCTGAGAACCTGCTGAAGTATTTAATATCGCAGCAGGCTCCTGCTTAGCGAGCAGATGCTATCTCTAGAATAACGCCACGGCCATGCCGGGACATGCAAATGGAGCCTCTCGTGAGCCCCGCGCTAAATTAATTACTATTAATTAATTACTACTAATGCGGATGTGTCGTTTTGAAACTTCATCTCGCGATCACCTCGGACGCGTTGCAGACGCGGTGTGCGTTAATTCTGAAACTCACGACGAGCCTGATATTTCCTTACGCCTTCATGCATGGGACAAGCATTTGGAGGAATATATTATCTCTTATATGATATAATTGTTATCGAAGAGCTTTCAAACTCGCACTGGAGCCCCGCGAGGAGAAATAATTCTTACACATAGAAATCTTCTAAGCTTGAAAACTTGAAAACTAGACAAATTAAAGAAATGTAAGAAGAAAGAGATTGTCGAACTCGTTTCAACAAGAGTCGTTTGATAAGAAACGTACACGTGTATTCGCGTGTTTGTTTCCTTTCTAACGGGTCCCTTTGCGACTCTTTGTATCACCAATCGTATCGTAAGATTGATCAACAAATCTAGAGACAGAAACACAGAAACGTATATAAACCACTGCAGATTAGCATCCTTTCGTTAGTTATCGAGTAGATATCTAGATATTGTAAATATCTCAAGTTCTTCCGCTGAATTGTCGAGGTTCGGACATTATTCCCCAATTGATATTAAAGTAAAGTGCTCGTTAATATGTTCCCTCTGCCGCAACATACCACTGAAGACTTAAGGACGTACTTTTTTGAATATATGGGACCATCGTTTCCTGAAAAATTTAATTGTTATTTCAATCCGAATATTTGTCACGTTTGCAAATGGATAAACATAAGGATAACGTGTAATCGGTGTCACATGATTTCGTACTGCTGCGAGGTACACCAAACAATTCACGAGGAGCAACACGCTGACATCTGCGGATACTTAGAATTGTTCCTAGACGGTAATCTATGTTATTTAACATGCCGTTTAACCTCAACCGAATGGTGGAATTGCCGACAAAAATTGTTAGATTTATTGCGCTCAAAGATGACGCGTCCACTATTCGCGTATGAGACTCTTATGATACTATACGCAAAATCGTGCTTAGTTTGTCATCGACAAACTGAACTGACCGTGTGTCGCGGCTGTTACTGCGTCAATTTTTGCTCCGATCATACAGAGGGCTTTGAGATGTACCATAGCCCCCACTGCATGCTACTAAAGATATATCTTAACTTACACCTCGCCCTCATGGTCATCGCAGTTCCCCCGATATACGAAAACATCTCCGTATTCCCTCCTGAAAGGGAGGAAAGATCCCTTTCAAACATGCGCGATTTTTTGGGATTTTGTATATATCAAGAGGACGAACGCTGGGCTGGGAAACCATGGACCGATGATCTTTTGTTGGTTAAGGATTATAATTATTCCGTACTTCTGTCAGAACCGATGACGATCTACTACGGAATGGAGGATGCAAATTGGATACGGAAATTGTTGAAACCTGTCTGTATTGTTCATGTCATCTTCTCAATTCCTATGGCTGGAACCGAGGTGTTAGTTTGGGAGATTCTCTTGCATTTGTTGTTTTCCAGAGTGCAGCGATTAGTAATCGTATTTATAGAACAAGATACGTCGATTGCCATTGGTGAAGTTGAACTGTGCGAAAGGTGCAAGGCACATGAAAAGCGTATTGACTTTGAGAGAACCTCTTTAGCGTACGAAGAGTATATTTCCGGTATGGAATATGAGCGCCCGAACATAATTGTAATGTTTCAAGCAAGAGTTACTAAATTCACAAGGGCGTTCGTAATGGAAGCGAAGCATCAGCGTTGTCCGTTACTTATTACTACAGAATCTGAAGAGAAATCGGACCAGATATTGCGCACAATTCATCGAGCTTTGGATGCTGGGAATGCTAGACTCTCTATTTATCAAGGAGAAAATAGATTCAGAAGTTTCGTACCAATTAAAGCTTTTAGGAATGAAGGTGTGACTTATTATAATCGTTATTTAGTAATACTCGAGGATTTGGGGGATCCAGACATTTTAGACCTTATAGAGCATATTAGCGCTAATAGAAGACCTATTGGTAGATATTAGATCTTGTTTATAACTGTTATCAACACTTCGATACTGTCATGGTCAAGCCATGTGCAAGATCGACTTCTGAGACCGAACTTGACCAAACTTGAAAATTTAATCAAGAATGCAAAAATTTTTATTATATTTTATATGTAACTTTATAGTCATTTCTTGCCGAGCAGTTACTCGAATATAGGATATCGTTTTCAAGTATTCCAGACTTTGAAAAATTTTAGATATAAGAGAACTTGAACATTTTTACATATTGTAGGATTGAAAGGCATATTTTTAACAGTTTTACCACAATATATTTAAGGTATTTGTCTTTCGTTATACACTTCATCTCTCTTCGTGATATTCGCTTAACAACGGATATTTTTTTACTTATGTATTGCCATTTACATGCCAGATTGTATCATCAATTTATACAAAACATACAAAGCTATATGTGTAAACATATATTTCTTAAACTATCGAGTTAGAGTGTCTCTTGGACAATGTTGCCAAGTCAACATCTCTGTATACACAACGTGTAATAAATTTGACCTCAAGATTGTCAAGGTTGTCGTTTCACATTTTATATATAATACCTCTGTAATTTTTTCTGAGATACCCTATGTAGACAAGAATATTCTCAAGAGTGTCGTGATCATAAAAATAAGAAACATATAGCCGACGATATAAGAGAGAAAATTTTGATTCTTCCATGAAAGAGCATTCGAACTAATGAGCCATTGAAGTAGCAGCGAGTCGCTATACTGTTATTATTTTTTATACTAACGCACATCTCGGGACATTCCTAAATCGTCGCGCGCGAAATTCACTCCGAGATTCCACGCCGCGCTGAGCGACGCGCGTATCGACTGCGAACAACGGCACAACCGCGGCTCGCGCGCGCAGGAGGCGGAACGGCAGGAAATAATAATGCAGCCCGGTCCCTTCGTTCGTGCCAATTATCCTGCCTTTTGTCGTTAGGCGACGTTATTTAACGTGGCTCCACCGACGCTAGCGCGAGCGAGCGAGCGAGCGAGCTCGTCCGATGGCCCGGCTCTCTCCTCTGTTACGCGACTTATCGGTTATCGGTGCTCCGCTGTCCCGTGAAAACGGGACAAGTCGCCTTGCCGATTCCGGCGGTTACGATTCCGCGCCCGTTCCCTTCCACCGATCGCGCTTCGGCTCGAATCCTGCGGCACGAGCGCGCGCTCCCCGTTCCTTACGAAGCGCAGCTGGGCCCGATACCATTAACATGTGGTACTTGCGTATTCCCAACATGTAAACTCGATCTAATCAGCATAACTAGCCCGCTTCGATGCACCTAACGAGTCTCGTAAAATTCCCACCCGCCGTTCTATCCCTTCCGGCCACCCTCCTGCTTGGCTCGCCTGGAGCGCGAGCGGCGCGCGAGACCGTGCGCGCCTATCCGATCCTCTCGCTGTGAGAGAACCTCTCCGGAGGCTCCGGAAAAGCTTCTTATCTAGCGGATACACCAGATTGAATGTAGTATCTTACACGCGAGCCGAGCGCTCGCTCGATTCTGCGGATCGAATCGGCCGATAACCGCCATGGCCGAATGCGTCGCTTCGTCGGGCCGGCGTGAGAATAATTACGGATTTAACGACGCGAGCGCGCGAAGGCGAACCGCCATTTGCACGACTGACATTTCGTTCGGCCGGCGTTTTTGTTTATTTTCTTTTTCTTTTTTTCACGAGACTGCAGCGGACGCACAGACTAATATGGGTGGTGCGCGATTTGCGATTCGAGGGAGAGGATCGGTCGAATTAACGCGGCGATAAACGGCTCGAACGCGTTTCGCTCGCGGGCGACAGATTTCCGGCTTGTGTGAAGCAATCTCAGGTCTGAGAGCCGGAAATTTTGTTTCTGAAATTTTCCCCGTGCTTGGCGCTTGGATATCTCGTTTCCATCAGCGAGCTCCAAGAGTCCCTTAATTTCGCGGCAAGTTTGCTTTTAGAAGGATAAGGGCTTTGCAAATAAATGTTGCCCGACGTCGCTGCGGAGACGCTGTTTCTAACGCGCGACATAAGTAACCTTCTTATGTTTCGGAGCGAGGTAAATAATTGCGCTGTACGCTGAATCGCGCTAAGTTTTGATTCTCTCGTAACGATTGTAAGGAAGAACTTTTTTCCAAAGGACTCCATTTTCCAATGGAGAGCGAACGGAGAAACGTCGCTGAAGCGACGTGTGGCTTGACTGCACGGCGGTCCGGTGAAAGTCCGCTGAAAGTTCGCCGGTGTGAAAGCTAATTAATATTTTTATATTCGGCTTTTATCGTCACGTTCATCGTCTGATCGATGACCCCGCCGGAAGACGCGCGTGTCCCTCGGTAGCGGCAGTCCTATTCGAATAGACGGGAGAAAAAAACGCGGGAGCGCGAACGCCGCGTCGCGCGGCGAGGGAAAAGGGGTAGGCGAGAGAGGCTCGAGATGCCATTGCGTAATTTCACGGTTGACTAACGGATTTTTATCCGTCGTTGATTGCGCAAAGTCCAAATATCACACCGCACCTGCGCGCAGGAAACGCGCTGATAACCGCCGGAGTCCGCCGCCGCCGGGGAAAAAAAGCACGGGTCATATTTGCAAGGCAGGTTTCCCGCCTTCACTTTCACTGCCTTCGTTTCTGGATGGAGGACGGCCGCCCGATAACCGATTATCGATGTGTATTTGCGAAGGCGACAGCGATACATCAATAGGCAATCCCGCTCGCAAAGCCACGACCAATTATCCTGCTATTACGATACGCTATTTGCGAAACCGGTAATTAATTACCGCGATAAATGTATCGCCAGAGGAGACAAACGCGACCGCGACTCTCGACTCGGCGGAACGCGCGCGCGCGCGAATTTAGGGAAGTGCGCGTTTCTCTCTCTCTCTCTCTCTCTCTCTCTCTCTCTCTGTCGCCGGAGCGCGACGGAAGCAGAAAATTACAAATCACGAATACAAGCGCCTCTTACGGCACGCGTCGCCGAGTTAATCACCCCGTTGCTGCGTTCTCCGGGATCGCGCCAGGATACACCACCCGTCGCATCTGGCAGGAACAATATTTATCCTTCAGGAGCGTCTTATCTCACCGTCATCCGACACCTCGTATCAATGAGATTGACGAGCGAACGTTCGCTGACTCGCGCTTACCTGGAAGGAACTCGAAGCCGTGGCTGCTATCGCGACTCGGTCTCGCCGATCGCGACCCGCTCGCGTCAGCAGTCGTAATTAATGCGAGTTATTATGCGTCGCATCGGGCACGTGCGCTCGTAAATCCCGCAGTTAAACGGTCCGTCGCGTCGGCCGGCGCGCGTCCTCCGCGGAAGCAGAGTCCGGGGCGGATCCGCCACAGCGAGTTGGCATCGATGTATCATCAGCACGCACGGGAAACGCGGCTAGCGGTACAGCGGCTAATTAGAAAGCCGCGTTAACGTGAACCGCGCGCGTTCGCACCTTGTTCAACGCGCGCGATCGCCCGCGGCCGCTCATTAAGCAGGCCTCGCGTTATCGGAGCCGCGTCGTCGCGGCTCGCCGAGCGAAGCGCCCGGTCCCGCTCCACCGGACGAGTCATACTCGGACGCTGCGACCTGGAGATTCGCGCGCGATGATGACAGTCTTCGTGATTCTAATTGATCGACAGGCTGGGAATTAGCGCGCGCGACACCCCGTTGGATCTGTCGCGGCAGCCTCTGCATCTAGGTATACGAGGTTTCATCAAAAAGTAAGGAGAATTTTTAATTTTCTCGGAAAGTATTTATTTAAACTTCAATGTTTATCCCATCTCCTTCAAGGTAGTCCCCCTGTGATATTGTGCCACTTGTGCCAAAGTAGTTTCCAGTTTGAGAAACACTGGTGGAACGCCTCTTCAGGTGTCGTCTTGAGCTGAATCTGCGATCTCGCTTTTATCTCGTCCATTGTTGAAAAATGTTGTCCTTTTGAGTTTGGGAAATAGGAAAAGGTCACAGGGAGCCATGTCTGGAGAATAAGGTGGTCGCGGCATCACAACGGTGTTGTGTTTCGCCAGAAGAACTGTCGGATAAATCGTTTCATGTTCAAAAGATTAGTAAAAATCGCTTCGCATGAGCCGTGTGAAATTTCTATTTCTTCAGCAACCTCTCTAATGGTGATTCTTCTATTAGCGAGCACAATCTCTTTAACTTTTTCCATGTTTTCATCACTGGTGGACGCGCTAGGACGCCCAGACCACATCTTCGATGTCTTCTCGGCCTTCCTGAAAGCGTTTGTACCATTCATAAGCTCGTGGTTGTGACATAGTATCGTCGCCAAAGGCCTTCTTTAACATTTTCAACGCTTCGCTGCACTTAATTCCGTTTTTGACACAAAATTTCAGACGAACTCTCTGATCCGACATTTCGCCAAATACACACCGAAGTACGCCTTGCTCATTCGCTCGCCAAACACAAACTAAGCGTCGCAGCTGCCTGATAATTGACACGTACTGGTCACTGGTAGTGCTATCAACACACAAAAGAAGAATCAACCGAATAGACAAGATACAGCGCGCGTAATTTCAAAAGTTTCTCAGTACTTTTTGATCAAACCTCGTATTCATGGGGAATCGATACTCTGGACATTTCTCGGGCCAGGGCCCTTATTCTCGAAAATTTGTGGAAAATATCGTACACGATATTTCGTCAATGGGGCGATTTGATTTGATCGGAGAATCGCGAAAATATCTAGTGATATTCATGAAATATCGTATGCGACATTTTTCAAGAATACGAATGAATTTCGCTGGAGAAGCGAGCTGACGGTCGAGTGACTTGACTCCGGCCGACTTTTGTCGCATTGGATGAATTCTTTAGACTCCCAACGTCGAATAGATACCTCCGTTCGAAATGGGATAGTGGCTCGGGTAGCCTTCGTTTTTTAATAAAGAACAATTCAGCCCGGAATATTTTCTCCTCTGAGCTCGGAAACTCGAGTGAAAAATTTACTCCGGCAATTCGGAGCGATGCCGTTCATTTCCACCGCTCCGTTATCCGAGCGATTTTTCACTCATGTTGTCTCGGTGAGGTCTCGCGGTAGGGAATTTAAAAAGTTCTCTCTCGGCGAAACTAACGCTTCATTGTGCCGACTCGATTGTTGCAATCTACGATCGCGGCTGCGTGATGTGGAGTGAGTTTAGAGGAAAGTACGTTCTCTCCGGGTCCCGAGGAGATTAATCATTCCCCCCCCCCCCCGTAATTCTCTCCAATAATCGCGAGAGAAACTACGCGGAGACCCGACACGATCCTCGCATTAGCACGGCGATCGGACACAAATATTTCGTCGCGTCTGGGATGAATGAAGGAAGAGCGGGAATGGTGTAAATGTTTATTAACATCTCGCTCGGCTGACACAGTCGACGACGCCACTAAACGAATGCCATTCATACTTATCTTGAATTACGTCGTTATTTTAAGGACAGCTCAATACATATATACGCAGCAACAAAGGCGCACAAAAGCGCTGTCTCTCCATTTTGTTAGTTGACGGAATTAGCGTCTGCATCCGCCGCGCGGATACATTCGCGACAGTACTGACGTTTTCTTGCGCGCTCAATCTCCCATCTTCGTGTTCCCTCGCATTCGACAAGCAGCCGGGACGACGACGACGAGGGGATGAAAGAAGCGTAACGATCGTCCACCGGAGCTCTCTCTCTCTCTCTCTCTCTCTCTCTCTCCCTCTCTCTCTCTCTCGCACGCGCGGCGTGTGCGCGTTAACGGGCCGTCGGGGGAGGGGGGCCATGACGAGGGGCCCCGATACGAATTAGCGTCGGTGTAAATCGGCCTCAGTATTGCGAGCCTTTGTCCTCCGGTAGCAAGAAGTAGATCGTCACGTCGCCCCGAGGAGTCTTGACGATCTCGCGATGTCGGATAAGCTGCGTGGCCGCCAGTCCGTACACCAGGGTGGGAATGCCTGATGGGCCCGAGAAACAGGTGGTGAGAGGGTGCCGGGGGTGAATGAGACGCGGCATTACTGAACCCGTTCGCCATGGCTAATTCCAGATCGGAAGAGCGTCAATGAAACGAGACGTTGACCGTGGAAGGACGACGTCGCGTTGCTTCCCGGACGTTGAAAATTAAGTCAAACAAAACCGCCTGGTAATACCTGGAGCGAGCGATTTCTGTCTCACGACGTGCTGCCGCCGATTGTTACTCTAGATACGCAGCGAATACAAATCAAGTTAGCGGCGAGGTGACTTGGAAGTGCCGGAGGAAGTTTAATCGTCATGGCGAGTCCGGCCGGAGCGACGACTGGGCGAAACGTCGCGCTCGTCGTGATTCGATCGCAACTACCTGACGAATGTCTCTCCCGGTGATTCGCCCGAGTTGAAGATGCGCTCAGCGAAGGAAAGCTTCGCTGAGCGCATCTGAATAAGGAACGGCTCTTTACCGTTCGATATCGCGTTTCAAAGATTTCACTCTCGCGGTAGTCATCGTGTTTCCAGCCACCACCGGCGGCTAAAGTCGCACGTCGACGTCGCCCGGCGAATTTCAGTCGAGCCGAAAGTTACTGCAATCTCGCGAAAACCACCGCGGGCCACCGCGGGAACGCTGACGATGGGACTCACGAGCTCGACGTCGTCCTGCCGTACCCGACCGACGCGAATGAACAAGGTCGCGCTTCCGAACACACACCGGCTTTCTTTCTCGCCGCGCGCACGCTCACTCACCAAGGTTCAATATCTTGATCGCCTTGAAGAATCTGTCCTCGCCGCTGAGGTCCTGCTTCGGCCGCTTGCTGCAGTGGTACTTGATGTACGGGAAACAGCCGGTCCTAAGCACGTGGTAATTGCTGCCGCCCGCGGCCCAATTGAAATGTGACATGCCGCGCTGATCGTTCACCACGTCGGCATAGCGGACGAAGTACGAGGTCCAGGGGGGCTCGCCGCTTTGCAATAGGTAGCTCGTTAAGACCTGCATCTCATAACGACACGAGGTCACTTTCGTCGTTGTCATCATCGTCGGGACCTCTCGCGCGGAGAGACCACCTCGGGACGAGCTGATCGACACCGTCGACCAGCCCGTTGCGTCTTTCCTCGACACGTGTCGACTCGTTAACCCCCGCTTGGTGCGTTAACCCCCGAGTGCGTTTGGCCTCCCCGGCTTTCCCGACTGTGTGCGAAAGAAATTAACTCGTCGCGACGTATCGAGTGGGCGCGCGGGGTGCCAGTTAGTCGGCAACGTCGTTTCTCAGCACGCACGATCGTGTTACTTGTGTACTTTCCGTTTCACGTTACCGTAAGACGGGATTGAGTTGCACCACAGCAGGTGCAAGTGTGCGCGACGCTGGAGCTGGGCGATTTTTGCTCCAGTCGTATTCAATGTTTTCAGCGGCAACGACACCTCGACAACGAGTGCCTAGAGAGAGCCTCATAGGAAGAGAGTGGCAAACTGATCGCGTGACCTGGTCTCTGCTGATCCGATGGAGGCACGAAGTCTTCTTGACCAATCGGAATATCGATATAGCGAGACGACAGGTTGGTTTTACAGTGAGTTTTAAAAGCGGTCCAGGCATTTTATACTATGCACAAGACACAAAATTATGTAAATAATATATATATATTACGATTCTTATTCTGTGTAAATCGAAGCGACAAATATTCTTTCACAATTAATACTTATTGCTCACGGATGTCTGATTCTTATTGCTGTTATTAATTCATCAGGCGAAAATCTTGTAAGACTCGTCGTAACCTCCTCTAATGACTGACAGATGTACGCAGATGCCAGACAGCTTTAAAAACTCGCTGTAAAACCAACCTCGTCGTCTTGCTATATTCGATATTCTAATTGGTCAAGAAGGCTTTGTGCCTCCGTCGAATCAACCGGAGACCAGTTTGCCACTCTCTTCCTACGAGGCTCTCTACGAGCTCTGCCTCGCGCAGTCGGAAATTATCAGGCCGCGGGAATATCATGTCTGCGCGAATATCTGTCTTCAGCGCGCATGAAATAGTGGAACTTTGACTTGTCAGTCGAGTTTGGTAAATAGTAAATTTTTGGCAGCGACAGAGAGCGTCCGGTAAAGCGGTTCTCGAGGACGTATAAATATCGTAGCGTGGGAGGATCTCGGGATTAGATTTCGGATGGAGTCGTCGACTCGGATTTCAGCCGTATCGAGTCGCGCAGCTCCGTGTCGTTCTGCCGACGCGGAGATACCGGCGATCGCGGAGGAAAACAATTGAGTCTCGGACGCGCTGGGATAAGAATGATAGCGCGGGTGTCTCGCGCGGGCGTGTTGCCGCAACACTTCGGGAAGAAGCGGCAGTCACGTCGCGCAATCCCTCGACGGAATACACAATGGCGGCGCAGTCCGTGCTCGAGGAGCTCCGACGGATTCTTGGGGGCTGCTCGACCGGCGCGGGATTATCCGAGCGCGATCGCGCAGAGCCGCGGGAATGGAAACATGCGAAGTGTAACACGGACGTGCATTGTTGCGTAATAAGAGCGTCCGGAGAAAGTACACGGCCCCCCCGTGTGTGTGTGAGAAGAGATTTCTCCCGAGGCGACGAACAGCGCCGCGCCGCGCCGGGAGGATAATTAGGGGAACGCCGAGATTAATTAACGCGCTGAAAAACGGGGGACGCGTTTACCTCCGACGCCAGCGGCCTATTTTTCCCGCGGAGGATCTTCGTCCAGAGACCGCGGCCGCTTCTCGCGGCCAGCGACGTCCTTCGTCCGACGATCTGCGGCTTGATGATCATCACGAGTGGATTCCCCGAGCCCCGTTTTCAAGAGCGTGCTCCTTCGACCTGGAATTTCACGTCGGTGCAATATTCGCGATCGGCGACTGCGCCGACTCGCTAAAAATTGAAAGTCCTGATACTCTCCGGCCCGCGCATAATGCACGAAAGTGCACATCCATCAGCTGTAATTGCGGACGCCATAAGGCGCGCTGAGTCATCGGACGTGACATACGCGCGGCAACGCGTTTTCGCGGGACATTAATCGCGAGAGAATCGATACGAGAGCGAGGAATCAAAGAGAACAAACGCTCTCTTCCTTCTCTCTACTCACAGTCGCATCTGCTCGGAGATGTCGGGCTGTTCGGAGAATCGTCGTATTATGCGCGCACAGCAACAGCAGAAGTCTAATCTGATCTAGGAATTCGCGGATAAAAGGAGCGGCTCTCTCAATAGCTTCAGGAGATATACCCGACTAGAAATTTTGATCAGGTTGATTCAGTCAACATTGATAAGGACCTAATAGAGTGAATGAAAGGTAATGCTGAAGTAAGTCAGTCCTTATAATGTCCTAACAACAAATGAATAAGGGAGACCTTTATAAGGTTATAATGATTGAGTCCACATTAGGAGCTTAATGTACCAACCTAGTGACCTGATTAACTGAACCATATAATATGGTTCAGTTAATCAGGTCCTTGTCGGGATCTTATTCATTGTACCTAATGTGATTTGCATTATCAAGTTTCAACAAAACCATTTTTGGATATCATTTCCAAATACAAAGATGTTTGCATTGAAAAAACATTTCAGATCACTTGGATATATTTGTAAAATGTTATGGAAACTATCCTTTTTTTAGCAGTCAATAAATAGTTGCAAAATTAACGCGACGTGCAACTTTTCTCTTTAACGCTACTTTATGTCTCGTCACCTTGTGATACTTAATGATCTTATGATATTCATTTTACGTTTCTTTTCGGAAACATTTTACAAGTATGCTCAAGCGATCCAAAATATTGCATTTCATGCAAATATCTTTTTATTTGGAAATGAGATGAAAGAATTCTCAGCGTGTCATTTCTTATTTCTAATGTCATCATCCAACATAGCCGTGGCGAGTAAGCAGGAGCAAATCAGGAGGAATTTGAAAAAAAAAACGTAATAAGGATTCCTTAAGGTAACTCAATTAGGACCTAACTGTGAATCCTTACTGAGGTCCTGATATCCACGCTGCGTCACATGACTTACTAGGACCCGATGGTATTACCTTATTGGGACCTGATGTCCAAGTAGAGGTTAACCTGATCAGGATCGTGAGATAAATTTCTAGTCGGGTAGCTCCTGCGCGCACGCGCACGCGTCCTTAAATTCTTGGATAGGAGAGTATGCGTGACGAAAGCAATCGCATCATTAACCCAATAGTGTCGCTTGTCGCTCCGCGGGGTGGGAATCCACGTCACGGTATGTACCGTTCCACCTTTCTAAACCAAACGCGAGGCCGAAGCCGCTCAAAATGTCAAGGTTAACGAGGTTCAATACGATCGGCCGCGGTGATGGATCGTGTCGCGCGGTACGTTAGTGTTTCTGTTTCTTACGCGCGCGCGCGTTCCACGTCGGCGCGTATCAGGACGCATAATAACGTAATTGATGACTCGCCCGGACTTTTGCCCGTCACAGCTCGCGCGAATTTCGTTCGTTGCGCGGCTTTGATTGCTTCATCGAGATTACCGCCGAGTTCCGACGAATACCTGAGAAGTGTCGCGCGTGTCGTAATTGCGAGACCGAATTACGGCCGATCCTTCGCGCTGGGAACGCGAGCTCCATTCGACGAATCGCTAATTTCGACAGACAATCGATTCGATGGGAAAATGCATCGGTTACGTTGCAGGCTCTTTGTGGCGCGCGAGAGATGAATTCTCGGGGTGAATTCCGCTGTTTGTTTGCAACGATCGGACAATTATAGAATCGTGCGGATCAAGTCTCGCTCTTAGTCGCACTCGCAGATCATTACGGGGCGATAATATCTGATCTTTTTACGCTCGCGAAACAATCGTATACGTGTGCGAAGAATTGCGCTGTTAAAATGTATCGATCTCGTATTGTATCACCTCGCGTTCATACTTTCGCTTTCGTAGGCGACGGCGACGCTCCAAGCATCGAACCCAGGCAGAAGGGAAAATCGTGATGACATCAAAGTGACGTCATAGTGATGAGGAAAGCTCAACTTTTTCATCACGATTCGGTCATTTTCTCGTCATGATTTTGATGTCATTTTCATGTCGTCATGATTCTCCCTCTCTCTCTCTCTCTCTCTCTCTCTTCTGCCTGGGAATAAAAGATACCGCGATTTCGAATTGCAACCTCTCATTTTTCTCATGTTTATTTATTATATCTCACCAAGCGATACAACCGATTTGTGACGCGTCGTGCGCATCGGAGAGCGAGAATATCGTAAACAAACGCGCGGCAAACTCGGGAGAGACAAGTCGAGAGATAGCAGCGGGCGCGTTTGAAGCCCGCTGCATCTGCGCATTCCTACCGCTCGTCCTCGCGCTCTCTCACGCATGTGCGGGACTTTCGTGCTGCTGAACGCGGATAGCCGCGGCCATTGGAGCAGTTAATGCCGCCACTTGCACCTCGTTTACGACCGCCGTGTGACTTGGCACAAAGCACGTATGTAAGTCAAACGTGTAAGCACTCGATGCAGCGCGCGCGCGTGTCCTATGAATGCGAGAATACCTGTGTAATCTTCAGCCGCGCCGCTTGATAAGATGAGTATGTACGCACGCAACACACACACACACGCGCGCGCGTGAGAGTGGCTCGCGATAACGGCGCGACAGCGAAACTCTCGAGAGCGCCGTCGCCGGGAGAATCGCCGCTCGACGTATCGATTCCGCGTGGCGGTCTTTTCGAAAGGATTCCCGCAGCTCGAGCCGCTCCTGCCGCGCGCATATGAGACGTTAAAGTGCAAATGAAAACGTCGGGACTCTCGAAACGTTCAGTTGCGCACTTGAGGAGTATTTGTTACGGTTTGGTTCTCCCTTAAGATAAATGTCCCAGTAACCGGACGTTGAAGCGTCGCAAAAAATACAATATATAATATCAAGAATAGTTTCGATATAAATTTTGGGTAATTATGCAGAAATGCAGGGACCACCTCCCGATGTCAATGATTCTCACATACGTTATCAAGGTCATCGCCCCGAGTAATGTTCTGAAAGTTTTGGCCCGCGCTCATTGTTTATAACAAAGTTATAAACAGAATAAGTATACTAAATAGTATATAATTTTCTGACACTCTATACATATACTAAGCTTCTTACAGTGTTTATTGAGTCTTGAAGATTCATTCGTTTGTTGTTCACATTCTTTCTATTTCGGTTTCGGTTTATCTTATTACACATGTTGTTGATATTTCTTGCGATTTTAAATCGGCACTCCAGGAGAAATTAATCAGTATAGAAACTGGGGTCCCCTAAATAGCATATTTACCTTATTTTGTTCATAACTTTGTTATGTCAAACAATGAGCGCGGGCTAAAACTTTCGGAACATTACTCGGGTTGATGACCTTGATAACATATGTGAAAATCATTGACATCGGGAGCAAGTCCCTAATTCTGCATATATTGTATTACCAAATTTTGTATTAAAATAAAAACTTGTATCAAAAGATAAAACTTTTGTATTAAAACAAAATTTTATTTAAATTGGATATATATCTTGTCCAACCAATCGTCGGATATTGGAGTTTCTTTTTGCAATAATTATTGCTTTCATTCATTATTGTTAGAATAAATAGTAAATATTTTTCTTTTCAAAGTGGTCGGATACTGGGACGTTCACCTTACTTGATGTCGCTCTTCGGCGGACAAGTGTGATCGCCGAGGCGCAACGTATCATAACGTCGCATTTGCACATTTTGCTTATTAAAAGGTAAAGAAATGTAAAGACGCGTATGTAAATGAGCGATTGGCTCGCACCTTGCTTTTACCGCAAGATGCGCGTCTTCGCGAGGGACTTGTCATCGTGTGTTCTCTGTCGCGCATCTGGCTGCTCGGAGACGCAAGTCCGTCGATTTTAACGTCCCCGTGCAATTTGTTGCGCGCGCACAACGTGCTTTACGTGGCTTTGATGTAACATTATCCTAAGGTACCCCACGCGCGCGCGGCGGGCGTGGCGGTGGTCGCTGAAGCACATTCCCTTTAATAGATCGTCCAATAATAGACCATTAGAGACCGTGGATGAGAACCCCCTAAGCACTTCCAGGTGGTAAATATACCGGCGCAGCCTCGTGGCATGGGGTCAGACCGTCAAGCAACAGCCTTGACGGGCTATCATTCTCGACAAACTTGCGGTACATCTTGTTCTCCTCATCCGCGCGGCCCTTTTTCCCTCATTCGCTTGTGTTTACACCGTGTGCGCGACGTCGGACGCATCTTTCTCGGAGGATGGCAAAACATTCCTGTCACGGTTTATATATAAGCCCGGTCGCTGGTGGACAATTGCGACAGGAACAAAGGATCTTGCAAGGCGTGCCGTATGGATGACGTCTCGCGCAGACCGTATCAGAACTTATTCACTTCAACGAAGGAAATGTTAAACTTAACGCTGAAGAAAGGGAAGAAAAGAAAGAGAGCATTTCTCGTCAACTGCAAACCGCTGCAGCAAGATCTTCCTTCCTCCGCGCGATTGCACATGCGAATTTTTGTTCCCGCGTGGTCTCCTCTTTGCGACTCGCCGCTCGCGTTTAGCGGCGAAGGGAGCCTTCGTCTTCTTTCATTAAAACAGGAAAGAGAAGAGCGGAAAGGGGGAAAAGTAGGCTACGATCGTTTCTGGCGAATAATAATTTAACCGTTTACGCGCGTGCGACCCAGTTCCTTTTTTTCCTCTCTCGCTGCTCGCTCGCTCGCTCGCTCGCTCGCGGCGAAAGTACTCTCCGTTATCGCTCCGCGGCGAACTAGTTGCGCTCGCAGCCGCGCGAGCGTGTCTGCGAGCCGCTGTGTGACGGGACGACAATGTCGACGTTGCACTTCCGTTGTCGGCGACACCTGATTTATCGCAGCCGTCGCGTCGCATCCCGCGTGCGCTCTGCGCGTTCGCATTTCGGCTCGGCGAATTCGGAGCAGCGCGACCGGGTGAACCGCGTTTCCCGACTATTCGGCGACATTAACGAACGGCTCGCTCGAAGCGACCGAATAATTGCGACCTGGGAAACGGCTGCTCCACATCATGATTTTCCTCATGACCGCCTCATGCTCGCGCCCGCCCATCCGCTCCGACTCGGTCAGCATTATGATTCGTTATCTTCGAGCTCTTTGTGCGCCGCGCGTATCACTTTCATCGGCTCGCGATCGAACTCGTGAAAGCGACTCGCAAGCAGAGCGGAATTATTCGCGAGAGAGATGCGTCGCGCTTTCACGGTCGACTCGCGACATCGCAGTGCCGTGCATGTTCGATCGTGCGGCGTTAAGTTATATCTCGCAACAACAAAGAGTCCAAGTACAGTCCAAGACACTCTCTCTCGACCGAGAGAGACACGCGAGAGAGACTCGCGCGAGAGCGACTCGCGGCCAAGGCGGAATTATCCGCGGAAGATGCGTCAGGCTCCTCCGCTTAACACGCACATTAACGCCGCGCCCGATTCGATTGTGCGACATTGAATTATCCCGCGCGAGAAAATGCATGAGAAAACACGCGTAATCCGACGGACAATCCCGGGACGCTCGCGCGTATCGCTCGAGAGCGAGATAAGTGTCAACGACGCGACGGCCAACAATTTATCCGATTACGCGCGCGAGAACTCGTTAAGCAACTATTTCTGCGCGACACGTACGTTATATGCACGGCATGTTTACGTAAGTGAAAAATCACGGCGAAAGCGCCAACAGGTGTTTCGTCGCACGCTCGGAATAATTCCGAGCGAGCGTAATTCGAGTCGAAACGCGCGTATACGGTTACCGCGCCTCGGCGATGGCCGAGCCTGCCTTAATTAAAATCCTCGTGGACGACAGCGTTATTGAAGCATTCTCGTTCTGTTTCAGGTGAGTGTCCCTCCGGTGGCCGGTATGACGCCGGTGAGTAGCCGCGCGTCGCGGATTATTCGCGGCGCGGAGAATCTTGTCGCGCGCGCGCGCGCGCGCGCTTTCCGCTCGCGAGCCTCCAGCGATTCCTCGCGCCTCCGGTTACCACGCCCAGTATCGTTTTCGCATACCGTCGCGACTTATACAGCCCGCCGTAAATTACGACCGTGCCTCATTAACATCCGCGTGTTTATTGTACGCGCGTGTTTATTGTCGATCGGACGCGCGCTGTTGACGCGCGCTGGTCGTCGTCGGCGCGGCAACCGAGAGCGATCGTCGAGGAACCGCCGATCTAACGAGATTAAGTTTAAATCCGACGCACCGGTGTCTCTCTCTCTCTCTCTCTCTCTCTCTCTCTCTCTCTGAGGATTCGATGTACTCGATATCAAATCTCAAATCAGCTTTAGGCGTAATCGAATCATCGCGGTCGCTCGCGGTATTCCGCAGAAAGGGGAGAGGAAATCGAATCAACCAGTCGGGAGGTATTTCTCTGAAGTAAGAAACTAGAGAAAATGTTGCTAATAAACATTGAGATTGATGAGATTGTTAACTTAGCGTCGGATTTATACATCTTCCGGAAGGTACAGTAGAATGAATTCTACTTCGCTTAGGGAGTGTGTGGATCGACGATTTCTAAACAGTATTGATAAATAAATAAATAAATGTCATTCCAACGCTGATATCACCGGAGGCCGAAAGGTCAGGTGGTCGATACCGCGGTATCGTATCGGGAGCACAGTATCGATATCACGATGGTCACAGCAGCAACGTCGCCGAAAGACTGAGAGCGCCGCGGGTATCTGCGCTTTATTCTCCGAGTCGCGGATCAATATCGGCAGATAGCCGCCGAACAAGGAGCATTCATCGGCGCCGATCGGCGCATCGACGGTTAGCATCGGTCGCGGCGACGACCCGCGGCGGACGTCGAAGATCGCGCGAGGACGCGTCGCCGTCAAATTGGATTACGTCGCCGCGCCAAAGCGAGAGACGCGCGGGAAGCGCGCGTCCGCCTGCGGCCGCAGCCGCGATTACATCGCGTTTAATCGACTAGAACGTCACGCGAAGCTTTTCCCCGCCGAGATTCATTATCGGCCGATGCGTCCGGATGGCAGTCCACGAGGGAAGACAGGCGAAACGCAATATTCCCGTAATATATTCCGCGGACATTTTCCGAGGGCGCGAGAACCCTCAATTAGCCCCCGGCAATAATATCGCCTCTGCGATGCGGCGGAGTGATCGATAGATTTTTTTCACCCGCCCGCGAATTCGCCGAGCGAGCAGTTGGACGGTTGGATGGCGTGATCGTTAAACGCGTCGTTAAATAACGTTCCGTCCATTCGCAGCGATGGACACGGTAATCGAGCGAGTCTAATCAACGCCGAAGCTACCGACGATTAACGACTTATCTCTCGGCCAGCGCGATCAGAATAAGAAAGTGGGAAGTATAAAAGATATAAAACAACGCGGTGGGAAAAACGTCTATAAAGTTGAAAACATTTCGTACTTTTGTCAAAATTATTTGTGTGTAGAAAGTTTTGTGTTAAATCTTTTACACAGTCGTGTGTGTTAATTTAACATATCGTTGTTGTGTTACCTAGACTTTCTTCTGTTAAATTAAGATTATCTATTTTCAATGTGT